GAGGAGGGGTGGTATTCTTAAGACGGCTTTTTCCAAAGGCTCTGTTGTCCTTAGGCATAAGGAGATGTTCCAGCACATCCTGCTAAAGTTGTGCAAAGACCTCTTTCATGGCTGTTTGCATGCAAAGGAAGACTTTAATCTGAGGCAGGGATTTGGGGATTGTAACAGTGATCAGGAGGTTCTCCTCGTCCTTGCTTTCTTAGCGATGTCAGAGGGCAGCAACTGCAATCAGTGGCAGCGAGATGCAGTGCACGCACTGGGTATATTTTAAGGAATGTATTTACTTGTAGTTGCTGCATTAGGCAGATTTGAGTGTTGTGGTATAAGAAAAAGATTGTCAAAACCTCATTTTCCACCAACTGTTTCCATGAAAGGAAGAAAAGGTTCCATTGAAAAAGGTTGTTGTTTTGGTTTTTGGTTTGGTTTGGGTTGTTTTTTTTTGTTTTGTTTTGGTTTTTTTTGGGGGGGGGTGTCTTATTGTTTTGAACCAAGCAAAATGTTTTGGATTCAGAGTAAAGATATTTTAATGTTTATTGTCTTTGATCAAGACAATATTTAAAACAGAAATGTTTTATTTTTAAAAAGTCAAAATTAAGTATTTTTCCTATTCTACTGCTTGCTTTTCAGGCATGAGTACTTTGTTGAAGCTGAGGAAAGTTAGGCAAAATATTCTCAGAGGTTTTTTTTAATCTGCATTCTTAATCTAAAAATGTAAAGTCTATGACTTCTACTGAAGTTGCAGGAAAGCTCACTGAGAAAACTGAAGCTGTAGGGTGAAATATGACTGTGTGTCTCAGGGCATCTGCTTAAGCCAATAAACTACTGTCAAAGGTATTGATGGTTAGAGAACTTATGGGCCTATACAAATCAGATAAGTATATAGGTCGTGATATGGCTAGGTGGGTCATAACTTACTAATTTTTAAATGTTGAATAATTTTTAATTGAATTGTTCATAAATCATTTTTTACTTCTGCATGTCTTGCAAGAAAAAAAGAAAAGGAAAGTATCATGGTTTAAACCCAGTCAGCAACTAAGCACCACACAGCTGCTCACACCCTCCTCGCCCCGGTGGGATAGGGAAGAGAATCAGAAGAGCCAGAAGTAAGAAAACTCATGGGTTGAGATAAGAATAGTTGAATAAATGAAATAAAATAATAATAATAAATTGTAATGAAAAGGAAAACAACAAGAGAGGCCAGTTTGGGTCAGCTGTCCTGGCTATGCTCCCTCCCAGCTTCTTGTGCACCTCCTCACCGGCAGAGCATGAGAAGAATAATTCACATTATTCTCATGTTAAATCCAAAATACAGCACTACCCCAACTACTACGAAGAAAATTAACGCTATCCCAGCCAAAACCAGGACAGAAAGAAAAAAGAAAAGAAAGATTTATAAATAAAGACCATAATCATATGGCAGAGCAATGACAATACTTGGGTGGGATTTCCAAATGTGCATTGGAGTAACAGGGAGTACTTTGGAAAACTGCATCCTCAGAAGCCAGCGAGTGCGTATCTGTGTAATGGATTAACATTTATTAGTCTGATTTGTGTATGCTGTGATACGCGGACGTAACTTTTTAATTAAAACTTTGCATTACAGGCAAGAATGGCTTTGACTTCTTAGTGGAACAGAATTTATTTACTCCCCACGTTATCCACGCTATCTGAGTAGACACGCAGAGCGCGCAGTGCTGCTTCTGCGCTAGGAACTGAGCGGCTTCATACAGAGGAGCAGCTTATGAATAGCAAACACTGATAAAATGCATCTGGGTGAGCAGTTGTTTTGTGCCAAGTTATTTGAAAATACTGGAGTATCTGAACTATGTGAATATACAATCTAATGTTTTTTGTTTTGTTTTTAAGCTAGTAATCTAGCGATTTTCTGCATCCTCTGCCATAAAGAAGCATGGATGCTGCTTTGGGATTTGAGGCTGATACCTGCCACAAGGTCCCATGAGCCCGTGGTCCCCCTTTGCCACCGCTCCCCATCTTGAAAATGGGATATTGTCAGTGCTGTGGCAGCAGTTGCTCTGAAGGTCGCTGTGTTGATGTGATGAGGGCTTGGATGCTAGAGCTATGAGATGCTCCATCTCTAAGGATGGATTTGATGGTCTCAGTCTCTTAAAAGTCATTAGAGGTCACCTCAAAGCATGGACTGGAGCTTGTAGTGGGTGAAACCACTAAGGACCTCTCTGAAGAGGTTTTCAGCCTCAGACATCTGCCTTTCCTGTGCCCAATTTTTTGATTACTGCATTAGCATAGTGTTTGAGAGTCATCTTTCTTCACAGTGCGCTCAATAAATTACAATGCAATATTGATCAGCATGCATTTGTGTGTATGTTGAGTTAAAGCTAAGGTAAATAATGAACTGAAGTTAAATCAGACCAGTGACATTCCTGGAGGATATCTTTTAAGAGAGAATCTAGTTGATAGTATTCCTTTTATTCTTCAGGGATCTCTACATACACTACAAAATTAGTTAATTAGTTCCTCTAAAACATACATGTATATATATATATTTTTTTTTAAAGCTGAAAGTCTACTTCTGTTGACAGCCAAGCAGCATCCCGTTAAAATTCCTTATAATAAAGAGACGACGGATACATCAACCTTAAGATGCAGTGGAGGGGGAAGGCTTTTGCATTCATAAAAAAGATAAAACTCTGATAGTGTCTAAATAAAATTTGATATATTTTTTTGTGTCAGTTATGTAATGATACTGATTGCATAGGTGCTGATAATACTTATAACACATTATTTAAGTTATATGTTCTTTTGACAGGGCAGACTGCCTTCCACTGGAAACTTTGTGGGAAAGGAAGGGGGGGAAGAGAGAAGTCATGCTATCAATTTTTTTTCCGGTTAAAAATCACACAGAGCTGGTTTTACAATTCTGACTACATAAAGGAAATAAAACACACAAGAGATTCAGTGAACAACTTAAATACTGTTTTAAAATACTTCTCAAGCATTTGAAATATATATGATGAAATTCTATTCTGCAGCATGCAGAAGCTGAGTGTGCGTTCCAGAATTATCCTGCAGCACATTTATGTGGATGACTTAAAAAGCCCCGGAGCCAAGAGTTTAGAATAGAAGTACAGACAGATTGAGACTGGTAAATATAGCAGTGCTAATAGCGTCTCTCTCACATGCAGACCGAATGTTGTAGATGTGGAGTTTGGCATATTTGCTTTATCCTAGAGCAGCAGAACCGTGTGAGAGTTGTGCAGGTCACCTGGCAAGAGGGCAAAGGCAGGCTTATGAATTTAACAAGCCAGAAAGAGATGAAAATTTTTTTGAAATACTCTTTACTGTAATTTCAGCCTTTGAAGTCCACGCCTGCTCTCATTTCAAGGGGAGGAGAATTTACATGGGCTACAGCTGGTCATGAATTTTTCAATTCAGTGCCTTTTGTCGAAGATCCCTCCTGTCCAGGAGAAGTTCCCAATGAGAGGAAGGCTGACCCTGCCCACCTTGTGCTCTTGTGCAGGTTACTGCGATCTGGACCCCAGTTCTGGGTCAGGACTGGGAATGGTAGAACTCAAGTGCCTCTGCACCCTGGGGGAATGATCTCCCTGCAGCCAAGGCAACTCTTAGGGCCACCTTGGCATCCACCAAGGGGTGCCCAGCTCAGCCATGGGACCTTCCTTCATGCGGGAGATGGCTGGAAGCACAGCATGTCCAGCTCAGGCTTGGCTGGGCATGGAGACAGGTGCTCGCCGCTGGTGGAAGGTGTGCGCTGCCTGAGCTGCCAAGGCTGCAACACCTTGTCCAAACAAAGCCAATAACGGCTGAAGGTTGCTTGTAGACAGCCTGCCTAGCAGATCCCAATGGATCAGTGTCTAAATGCTGTTCTTCAACTCATGGCTTCACTGACTGCCTTTGGACAATATTTAGGGACCGTAGCCTGCGAACTAATAGCCAAATATTTATTATCTTGTCTTGTGTCAGTCTCATTTTTATCAACAACTACAGAATTTTTGGTCACCATCCTGGCATAGAATTAGTGGATGGGGTTGAGAAGAGACAGCTTTGAGAAGCTTCAGAAGAGATGTAAACTCCTCTTTATACAAATATCCCTCTTGTGGCCTCTTTAGACAAGAAAACTCTGTCATTTAAAAAAGCAATTTTGATCTGGAACTGAATGTTGCTTGTCCTGGTCATTGAATTAGTGTGAACTGAAAGAGGAGGAGGTACCTGGGGAGTCTCTGGAGGTCTGCTGCGTTTTATGCGATAGCTTAGCCCACTGAGTCATGCAGGCAAGGACTCGGGTTATCAGGCATGGGTGTTAGCCATGTGCAGCTGTTGGTTGTAGTGGGCTGGCATTTTTATGGGTTTGGAGTTAAGAAGTTCCCTTTAAAAAGTCTTCACTTTTGGAAAATAATTACAAGAGTCAAGGAATCTGTAATTGCTCTAAGTGACATTAAAAAACCCAAACTATGTATTCGAAGAAGTAGACGTTAGTAGTTGCAGTTTCAAGCAACTGATCGTTTGATTCCTTAAAATTGGATTTTATTGCTGCTAAAAGGTAATCCATTAGTTGTTTTGAAGGTGCTTTCCAATGTGCCCTTGCCTTTCATGAATATGATTTGAATGAAAACTATCCATGTTCCGTGCATGAGTACAGACGCCTTTTCTGGTGAGCTCTGCTCTTTGCCATTAATGGGGAATTTCTCTACAGCTGTTCCAGCTGTGTGTCACTGGTGGCTTGAGTTGTTCTCTGTATCTCTGCTAGTGGCATTTATTTTTTATGGGATGTTTCCATCAAAAGTGATCAACTATTTCTAAGAGAGGGTGATAAATGCAAGATTACTATTCAGGGGCTCTTGGATGAAGTGTTTAATTGAAAGTGTGAACTATTCAGTTTTCTGGAGAAGTTCCGCAAGTCCTCCAACATAAAATCCTGGCCACTGCACACGTGGTTTGGTGAAGAGATCTATACTCTGCTCGCTTTTACAGACTTAAAGTAACAATCTTTTTTGGTGCTTGCTCAGATCAGGTGGACCAAAACAGCAGGAAGTGCCTCTGACAGATTTCAAGACTCGAGTGTCTTCAATGAAACCCTGAGGATATCCAACATCCAGCGACACCAAGGAGGACGCTACTACTGCAAGGCTGAGAACGGCTTGGGTTCGCCAGCCATAAAGTCCATAAGAGTGGACGTGTACTGTAAGTAAATCGCTTGGGAAGTTCTTACTATGCTTTTTATTAACTTCTTATAATATCTGGCGTTACAAAGAAGTGACCAGCTCTTTGTGAAGCCCAGTTTTAAACAGTACTTTAGGGTAGATTCTGCAGCTTTTCGGAGAATTTACGGTCAGAAGACTCATGGCTGCTCCCATATGGAAATATCTTTAAACAAAATCACAATAATTTGTTAGGAAAGATGAAGCTCATGTACAACTCAGCCTGCTTAGATATCAGAGGAAGGTTTGCATATGCAGCTTGCATAGCGTGAAGATCTAGTACGTGGCACAGCCCTTAATCTCTTGTACTTTTGGCTGCGCTTGCCCTCAAAACTGATATGGGAGCAAGTACAGATGTTTTTTGCTATTTTGCTTTAATTGTTGCTGTAAAACATTACTTTTCTTTTTTTTTTTTTTTTTTAAAATGGCAATCTCTTCATGTTCCTGTGATGCGCAGTTTTAGAAGCTGCACTTGAAATGTTGAGCAGTGAAAAATATGAAGTATTGGGATTGCAATGCAATTGGTCACCAGAGCTGACAGAAAAAGAGGAAACAATTGAAAATGTCATACTGCGATAAATGCAAAATAGAATAAAAAAAAAAAAAAACAACACAAAAAACAAACAACAAACTTCTACTCTGACTTGCACAGACCCCAGTGCCAGTGAGTGAACTAGTCAGACAAAGCATGGCTCTTGCTTGTGATCAGGTAGTTTATTGCTGTAGGTTTAATGGTAAGCTCTGCATCTGACTCTGTAAATTAGGTGACTGGACTCAGCTGTTCGAAAGTGAGAAGACCTGAATGCCTCAAACAACTGTGGTTTTGTGTACACTTCAAATTGAGAAAAAATGTTCAAAATCTGTTTGAAATGCTCCAAAGATAAAGTCTTTCCAATATACATTTGGAGACTCTTCTAATGCAAATAGTGCTGTGTAAACAAATATGTTTACATGCCACATGTCGTTAAACAAATAGCTAGAGCTCGAAGTTAGCCCTTTAGTTTCCCGAGTCCTTCAAAGAGAAACCTGACTGTCTTATGACTGTACTTGGGCTTGTGTTTCCCAAAAAGTACCCTTTCTGTCAGATGAATCTCAAGATGTATGTTACTTTAGAGATCCGTGCCATGACAATTTCTGAGTTGGTTATGGAATTGGTGAAGGGGGGCAACCGCCTTTTGGGAGATTTTCTTGCCTAGTGAGTGCACTTAGCTTCATGATGTGCTTAACGAGCTATAACATACCAATGCCAAATTCATAAATCCTTTATGAACAATAACTGAATTAGGAATTAATTGCTCATTAACATGTTGGAGTCCAATAAATGAACAGGCAACCTTAATGACTGCGCATAAGCACACCATGCAAAAAAGTTACAAGCATCCAGTGTTTGTGAGGGGGCTGGCCCGAGGTTTGCAGCGAGGGGTGAGCAGGACACCTTGTCCAGGCAGCGTTCAGGGATCAGTGGTGCAGGTCGGGGTCCGAGCACTCTGGTTGTGCAGGGGCTCAGGCTGCCCCGGTGAGCCCCAGAGTCCTCCACGCACGCAGGGCTGCTGAAAGCATTTTGCAGGTCAGCCCTGTGTAGCTGTTCAATAAAATCTCCAAGAGCAAACATTTAAGTCTTGTCTTCTGGATGCCATTAAAGCACTTCTCTCTTAACCCAGCACCCATATATTAGATTCTTCTTAATTTTAGGTGTGGCTTTGAGGCTGATGGTGGCAGGAAAAGCAGTCTCAAGACTGGGATGCTACATGGTCTGAACAGGAAGAGTTGAGAGACTGTTTTGAGATTTTGATTTTTCTTGAATTTCATTGAGACTTCCTTCTGGAATATGTCTTTTTCCTTGTATCATATTTTGTTTAGCTATTAATATGTGTTCTCATATTGGCTGTCTGGGATTTATTACAGGATTCATTTTGGTTTTTACATCATATGCTGCTTCTTAATATACCTCAAATACAGATGATGTCTTTCTGGAAAACAACAAACTTCAGGTTCCAGCTGTGATTAAATCCCAAGTGATTTCCCATTGCATACAGGCTCATATTTCTCTGGGTATTTTCATCTGTTAATGATCAAATATTTGCAGGCAGACAGCACTGCAGTGGTAAGCTTAATGTGCTAGCAAAGATTTGGATCTAGCTGTGAAAAAGATAGGAGAAAAAAACCCTGTACCGCACAGAAAAGCTCATAAGAAATCAAAATATTGGAAATTGAAATGTTCCTGTTGAAATTTCCAAGTAGCTTAAAATACTTTTGTCTTTTTTTAGTTGAAATTTTCTGGTTTGTTTTTCTGTTTGTTGAATATTTACTTTATAGATAGTATGTTGTGTGTGCCATGTCAAGAACTTTGGGCAGTACTGAGCAGGAATATTGCGGGTGGGCGTGTGTTCTTGAATAATTGCCCATGAGACGCTTTTGTTCAGAGACCCCAAAATGAAGCATAAGGATCACAAGTACTTAGCCAACACTTATTTAGTGAAATTACATAGAGGAAGATGTTTTTCTTACAGACTTAGGTAACTCTCAAAAACAAACCTGTGGAAACCAGGTGATGCTCCCTTTTGAAAGCAAAACTTTATCATTAGAGCAAGAAAGAAATGTGTTTAATTTTTTTATGAAACCCTCAACTGTGTTTAAGGCGACAAGTAACGTTTATATTTCTTAAAAAGTGTATGGGTGAAAAATCACTTCGGAAGTATCTTGACTTGTAAAGCTAAAGAGAGAAAACAGTATTAAAGTTGCGTTCCACATTAGTCTTGGATGAAGAGCACTTCCTAAGGGCTAATTTAAGTCTTCAGCCTCTAATTTAAAATTTGAAAAGGCACTATATCTGTGTAGCTTGAAAATGAATTGTTGAAAAAAATCCACAGAAAATCTTTGTTTCCTCATTCATCTCCGTTATTGACTTGCTGGCTGGTTGGGAAATTTTAATACCAACATTTGGATTGGAAATCTCTCTCCAGTAATTTCCTGTTTTTCATTTTCCAGTTAGCTCTGGCATTCAGCAGCACTTGGAGCCACATTTTCTGCTACTGCGATAATTAGTTATACAGAAATAAGTGGCGACAGAGACTGAATATTGGTCTGTGTGAGGGGGGAGGAGCAATAACATTATTTTTATGGACTTTCTGCAGTCTTGAAAATGCTTTTAGGTTTGTTTTTGCAGAAAGGCTCCCTCAGAAGTTGCCAGATGTTTTGCATGGGTCTGCACATGTCCATTAAAGAAGTCCCAAAATATCATTATCAATTTCCTATGATCTCAGGTGACTCCAACCAAATCTTCTGACCGCTTGGTCCTAGGTGTTCAAGAGGTACTTGATGCATCTCCTGTAAAGAAGATCTAAACTAAAGCTCTTGGGTTGGCTGGGTTGATGTTGGGTGTGCGGTGCGATGCTGGCTGCAGAGTGCTTACAGAAACCTGCCTGGGGTAGGGCACCAGCGGCTGGTGCCTGGCCTGGTCGGTGTGTTTTGGGTCTAGCCCGTGATGTTGTTAGGAAATGAAAGAGTGAACTGCACTCCTGTGAAAAATCTCCATCCCTGTCTCTTATCCAGTGCTCGTTTCTGTTTGAGACCATCTGCAAAGGGTGGATGCTGGGTCTCAGTTCACATACTGCATAGCAGGATCCAGACGGAAGCTTTATTCAGTATTTGGAAGTAAATAATATTAGTGTTCATAGATGCATCTTATTCCTTCATCTCTGCGAGTTCAATACAGGCCTAAAGGTTACTTGCTATTGTTTTCATGTACCCTGTAATTCTGATTAACCACTTTCTAAAAACTATCTGGCTATTAGTCTGAATTATATACTGCTTGAGGGCATAGTATTTTTTTCAGCTCTAAAGTTAAACAAAACCCCAAATATTTTATAACGAATTCAGGGATAAGGAACACAGCTAAGGAGTTAAACTAAGCACGTGCAATCATTTTGAAAATAGCCAGGGGTGTAAATCCTCTGCTGGAGTGAAGGGAAAAAAGTGCTTTGTGAAGAATGAGTAGTTCATGTTATTTACAGTCAGTCATGTAGCTGTGTATCCCAGTGGGCTGGTTTTACTTGGTCGACATGGGATGTGCTGCTAGATGACTAAATCTCCGAGAGTTCAAAGAAGGTCCTTCAGGTGCAGCATTCCCATCAAGCTGCATTCAGTCATGACACTGTTGTTAGTGAGGCACCAAGGAGGAGAGGGAATTTTGCTGACACTTCTGCAGGTGATGGTGTGGTACCATACCTATTTTATTTAAAGCTGTCATGGATAATGCTAAACTAGGCTACAGTCTCTTCTGTTCCTTTAACATATGAAGATCTAAGTCAAACCTTCAAAAAAATAGTAGTCCCTTTTGGTCTGGTGTCAAAATATTTGAATGTAAAAAATGGGAAGGAGAAAAAAAAAAAGGTGATTTCAGTATTGCCAAAGTTCTCATTTCATCTACAGCTACTCTTGGAAAGAGAGGAGGCTCTGCAGGTTCCTGGGCAGGCACAGAGCCTTCTTCCAGCACTTTTCAAACCACCTTCTTGGTTTTCTTTGCTAGTTTCTTTTAGATCTTTTTGCTTTCTGGGGGGATAGGACTGTGGTAAGTAGACTGGTAACAATCTCTTAGAAGACAACTTTCTGTCCTTACTTTAAGTGTCTAAGAAAATAGGTTTTTGCTCTCCTGGCTTTGGCTGAAGATCCTAATCTCTCACATCAGATTGAAACAAATGCACTCGGTCCCCTTGGCAGCGCATTCTCAGGAGGGAGGTTTCCATTCTTGTTAGCCACCAGGAGAAGCAACTGCCTCATATATCCAAACTGTATTCATCCTAGACTTGAACTCTTTTTGTTCTTTCTCTAGAAGTATCTCTTTAAAGTACATCTCATCTTTCCTCTTTGAAGAAAAAGCTTTTGTACTTGACTCCTAGGAAAATTTTTGCTTGATTTATGGAGGACACTTTCTCCTTTTATAAGGAAGGAAACATATGGTATAAATTAAGTATTTTTATTTAA